GGGTGAGCACTCTGGCACACCGTGGAGCTGGGGAACTTTGGCATGGGCTGGTTAATCCAGAGCCTACCTGATCTGCTCCCAGACAACTGAGGTGTCTGTGGATTAAACTGAGTTGTCTGTGAATCTGCTTGTGCATCACAGCAGGCTTTCAAGAATTGTTCAGCTACAGACTGTTCCGTACTTGTGCAGTAAGAAGTTGAGTCTTGAGAAAATAACTTTGAATGAAATTAAAACACTACAAAAGAAAGTTAGCACTTTGGCTTTTATTTGCAAAATGAATTCTGTTCTTTCCCATAAGTGTTTTCCAGCCTAGAAACTCAGACTGTGTTACTTCAAGAATTCTGTGTTGAAAGAACTGCTGCACTGATCAATCCAAATGATGAAAAATGCTCTCTGCATCACAAACAACACCCTGATTTTATTATAAACTAGGGATATTTTTGTTGTGTTGGGCTTTTTTTTGGTCCCCCCCCAATATGCTGTACAGTACTAACATTTGTGGCAACCAAACTAGGTAGCAGTATTCCCATTTTTGCTGATAGTCTGATTTTACACAGCAAATGCAGAGAATAAAAGTGACCATGTTTTCTGACAATGCTGCATTTTACCATTGGAGGGGGAACTTCTAGCTAGCAACTCCCTGCAAAAAAAGGAAAGAATTTTCTGTACTTGGCTACAACTTTTGTTTAGGTACAAGCAACAACTGCAGTATCTTTTTTAGATGAGCCACACTGATAGCTCTGCACTTCCTTAAGGCTTCTCCTCTCCTCACTGAATGAACTCCAGGGAATGGCATCATGTCGGGCTTTCCAGATGGATTATGTGAAGCCATAGCTCAATGTCATTTTCAATAGCAAGGCTCATAATTAAAGGTCAAATAGTCACTTCATCTGCAATCAATCAATAGAAGAAGTACTAATACTAAGTACTAATCAATCAATGGCAAATGCACTAATAAAAGCCATGCATCAAATGTCTGCATATGTGTGTGCTCACATGTACTCTGCATATATGTGAGCAGGGAGAAGGAGAGAAAGAGAACAAAGTGTGGGTGAATATGCCAGAGGGCAGTGTGAAAGCTGTATTTGTCTTTACTCCTTCTAAGTTTATATCTTGTTTCACTCATGAAGTGAAATACAAATAAATATTACTTTTTCTGTGTATGTGATGTGCTGTATTGGCTGCCCAAGCACCCACCTCCATGCAGAAACAGCAGCTTGTGTTCCTAAGAGACACAAAGGCACCTTCCCTGTGTAATTTGTCCTTACAGGAACATGCCCTGCACTCTGATCTTTGAGACAAAAAGTGTGTCAACTGTTCTGTCTACAAAATAAACCCCAGCATATGGGAACAGCACTCATCTCTGTGCAGAGCAAGCACTTATTCATGGATTCAACAGTGGAAGTGGCAGTTGGCCTCATGAGCATGCACTGCATGGGAATTAGTTGGTTTCATAATATGGTGTGGGAGATAGTGACTTATAAAAGTCTCCTCATGCTTCTCCTATTACCACTTCTAAAGCTTTAAAGCTGTCAGCTCTTCTCCCACTTTAGTTGGTGCCATTCTGAGCTCCCCTGGGGACGGGCCACATGCACCTATTTGGAGTTCCACCTGCCAAGCTGAGAGAAATCAGTTTCAAAGTGAAAGAACAAGTGCTGGGGGGTCATTTATACACCACCACTGGAATCTGGAAGGCAAACAAAGCAGAGCTCCACAATGGAAGTGAAACCAGACCCTGAGCTCTGTGCTTTCAGGTGTAATGACAGAGGAAGAGGGAAAAACTCTCTCTACTAGAAGAAAACAGAAGGTAGAAATGAGAACAAAAGAGCAAGGGCCCAAAATGCCCAAGTTTGCTCTTCTTTCTGCCAAGATCAGGGTGGACAAGACTGTGCTGTGGACAGATTTATTTATCAGTCAGATATGGCTGATCCCTAAAAACAAATTAGATCCACTCTGCTTCCACCTTGAGTGAAGGAATAAACACCAACTGCTGTGGTTAAATTCCTGTTGACACCATCAGCTCAGGGGCTTGCCTCACTGCACTGAAGCTTTATAGAACCCCATCCTCCTCCCTGTTTACACAGAAATGCAAGTTCATGCAGCTCTATCTTATCTGGAACTGGGATTAATACCAAACAGAGTTAAAATAGCAGCAGTCTTCAAACCAGCCAAAGAGATACACAGCAGCCAGCACGCCTACATAGTGCACACAGAGTGGGGGGCACAGAATTGTGCCCAGGCCCTCAGGCTTACCAAAGATGGGCTCCCAGGAAAAAGAGCATTTCTTTCCCCATCAGAGGTGGTGCTTAATTCAGGACACACTGCTGCTGGCCCCAGACAAGGCAAGCCAGGGAGCTCCAAAGAAACCTTGACAGAGCTGAGCCTCTGAGAGGGAATGCAGCAAAGGAAGCACAGGTCCCAGCTACCCAGTGATCTCAGCTCAGTCCCTGAGCAGTAAGGAGAGGTGGTGCAAAAGTGCAAAGCCCAAGAACAAATTACAGCCTACAACCAGCCTTCCAGGAGGCAAACTGCAGCTCTTTAAGGATGGAAGTAAAGCAGTCTGTCCTGAAGCTGACAAACAGAACAGTCTGCAGCCAAGAAACAGTCTCACAATACTGTGTTCTACCATCAGCCTGTTTAATTTCCACTTGCACACTTACCCATGATTTATCTTTATTAGCAGGGTAAAACACAAAGCCTGACTTGAGAAGCTGTAGGAATCCTTGAAGTCAAGGAGGGCAAAGTAATTTGTTGGTGTGCTTGGGCAAAGCAAGCTGCAAAACACAAAGCCTGACTCGTTGGGCTCTGCTAATGAGAGCAGCAGCTTAGAATGGGAAAAATGTGAGACAAAAAGTCAAGCTAGGAACCTCAAAAGCTCCCCCCTTAGTTCTAAAGGAGAAAATAAAATATAAAAAGCAAAATGTACTAGCAGAAGAAAAGTGAACAGAGAAGGGGAGACTCAGACATTTGTGGTGTTAAATAGAACCAGCTTCTCTTCTGCACTGTCACGATTGCATCCTCAGTTTATACACACCTCCAAATAGCAAGTACAGCAGTAAATTGTGACTTAGGTGTGGGGTTGCTTTCTATAAATACAAGTGTAACTCTCCTCCTCAATACTAGCTCATTTATTAGCTGAAGCTTCAGTTTCATAGAACATTTGCTGAAGGAGACCTAGTGGCATTTAATCTGTGCTCTGCTCCAAGGCAGGATCAACTCTAGCTGTCTAATTCCTGTCTGTGGCTCATCTACAATGGTAGGAGATTGAAAACATCAAGATGCAACATATTCCAAAACTCAACTGTTCTACCTTAGCCAGGTTTCCCTGATGGTTAGGTTAAATCATCACCACTGTAACAACATCCTTCCCTTTTCAAAGTCCACCTGGGAACAAGCAACTTTCTTCCTTCTTTGCATCAACCTTTTAGGCTTGTGAAGATCACTGCTCTATTTCAGCTGCCTTCTCAACAACCTCAATTGTTTCAACCTTCCTCTGGGGTCACATTTTTGAGATCTATAATTATTCATGGCACTCTGATCTCTTTCCAGTTGGTCCATATAATTTTTTAACTGTGGAGCCCAAAAGATCATGCAGATGTTGAAAGCTGTGATGCTCTCAAGCCATACAGCTTTAGCTGCTTCTCTGCAACCCACAGGACCTTGTGTGAAAGGAAATTGGGTTAGTTTGCTATGATATGCATTTGACAGAGCTACATGGCTGTTACTCATTTCTTCATTTCTTTCTACACTGTTAAAATAATAGATTTCATTATTTGTTTCAGTAGTTCTCTACAAAATGAAGTTAAACTCACTGATCTATAATTCCTCGTCCCCTCCTTGCTTCCACTGTGAAAAAGAGGCATTATGTTTGCCTTTTTCTTGTCTTCCAGGATCTCCTTCACTTCCCACAGACTTTCAAGGGCACTTGCTAACAGTTCTGCAGCACAGGCCTGGCTGAAGCAAAGAACCCTGAGATGAGTTTTGCTGTATCAAACTGACTTGGAAAACATCTCACCTACGTCCCGACTTGTTCTTCCCCTGTTTCACTTTGTTATTGACTCTATCTGTGTTCCCCTTTCACAGACACAGCCTTAAAAAGGTATATATCCAGTCACAAATGCTTCATCAAACACATTTTTTAGGTTTTGAAAAACAGAAAGCAAGTGTTCAGTGACTGAACATAAAGGATGAAGCAGCAGCAAGTGGCTGTAAGCACAACTGATTCAGCAGTGCTTTGAGAATTTCCACCCTACAATATGAACTGCAATAATTACATACTAAGGGGTCATAAGTGACAAAGATCAATGAGGTTTTGATGAATTAATTTAAAGGATGAAGCAGCAGCAAGTGGCTGTAAGCACAACTGATTCAGCAGTGCTTTGAGAATTTCCATCACAACATCCTGTAATATGAACTGCAATAATTACATACTAAGGGGTCATAAGTGACAAAGATCAATGAGGTTTTGATGAATTAATTCTAATACATAAAACTATCCAGAATATCTGCAGACTTAAAACAAGCACATACATTTTGCTCATGTTAAGCAAAGGCCTTAAGGAAGTATTATCTCTTTGTGATTTTGGAATACACATGCTTTGATTTTTCTCTTCTGCCTCCCAGTTTTTAGGTACAAGATTTTACTGTGAGACTGGCCAGATGTGCCTTACAATCTTTTCAGTAACAAACCTGAAATTTTATCTGTGTTGGATCAGGCAACAGAACAAAAAGAACAATCCAGCCTCCAACAATGAGGTGGTTTTATGGTATAACCAGCAAAATCTCAGCTGAGACCATTATGTTGTGTCTGCCCTGTAATAAGCATTTATTTAATCTGTGGAAGAATTTTATCCTATTATTAGCATCATACTGATAGCATTACTTGTCACACTGAAACCAAAACCATTTAAGCAGAAAAGCCAGCAACCAACATCTTTTTTCAGCCCAGCAAGATACGAGTGTCACTGTTATTTTGCTCAAAAGCTTATCTCCTGACTTACCCAGGGTGAGGGATTTGTGTGTGGAACAGAAAATGATAGCCACTGTGTCTGCTGGTGTGAAACTAGAGTTATTCCTGGAAAAGAAAGAGTTTTAATAACCTCTGATAGTAAAAACCTTCTTAAAACATTTAAAAAAACATATTACTTTGAGGATCCATATGCACCTTCACATCACTTTGATCAGGTCTGGTGACAGAAAGAATTCTACCCACAAATGAACAGCAGTGTTTATGGTTTTTAGGTTTTTTTTTTTAAAAGTAGAATTGTTTCTCAGTTGTGGCAAACTCTCTAATGAAAATGCTCCTGTGTGAAGGAGAGGAATTCTGAACACATGGTATGTAGGACACAACTTTATTCTAGCCAAGGTTATTTTTGCAAACATCCTATATCACAGCAGTGGCCAGCCTGCCTCTGTCAAAATAAGAAAGAGAATGACCTAATATTTCTTCTTCTAGTATGTAATGATGACAAAACACTCAATTTAGATAGTATATTGAGTCTATACTAGGAGCAGTGCTTAGAATATGTTGTTATCTTCCACTTCAGAGAAAAACTGCATCTAAGGCTTCAGACTTTGGGATTGAGGCCAGGAAGGGTGAACAAAATGACATAGGGAGAGAGGTACATGACTGAGCAACTCATGACCCTTTGGTCCAAATTAGGAATCATTTTATGAGATCCTAAATATTCACCATAGTGTCTGAGCTGGTTGCTACTTACAGCATTTTAGGTTTTACAGTTGGGATGTATCTTCCCCCAGGTTAGGTCTAGCTGTTCAAAAGTTATTTAAAAATCACTTCCAAGGCCAGGGTATGATTTCATCATAGAGAATTTGTTTTGTGGCACTAAAAAGCATAAGTATTTCTAAGACAGTGCACCCTTCTTTGTGATTCTCCCTTATGGATATTGTATAATTGATATAAAATTGATATAAATTATTATATGAGTTATATAAAATGTCTGGAGTCTGCTCTGTTGTGGCAATTCCCATTCAGCAGAGAGCTGCTAAGACTTCAGGAGGCCTGAGTGAGAGGACAATGGTGGATCCTCTGAAGTGCACCCAAGTGATGCACAAGCCATTTGCTAACACCATTCTCATACTACTATTTTTTGAGAAGTGAATTTACAGCTGTGCTTCCTTGTTGATATTTAAAAAGAAAAATATATATATATATATGTATAGCTCTACCAAACATTAGTCCAGGACAACTGTCTTTTAAGAATCACCATATAAACCTAACAAATGTGACATATAGAGAGGAGAGTGAATTGCCAGCCTGGCAAATGTATCTTGAGATGTAAAAAGTCAAACTGAGTTCTCTCTCTCATATGTCATCAGCATGTCTGCAGGGCAAATTATACCTTCAGTGACATCTGTGCAAATCCATTTTTTTCAGTGGATGAGGTATAGCAGTGATTGATTGAGATTTAACAACTCTGTAATTAACACACAAGAAAGGACAGAATTCAGGTCCTGCTCTCTTAGCCTATGAAGCTCTAGCAGAGGAAAATGCAGTCAGGACAATATGAAATACCAAAATGAGGTCACCCCTATTCAGAAACCTGCCCCTCACCCCTTTGCATAAAAGGTAGCACAGGAACCAAAGCTACCACACAAACCAAACAGCCAAAGGTTCTGATTCAGCACATTCCATTACCTTGTAGAGAAGAGGAAAGTCAAAAACATGAAGCTCATCTGTACAGAAAATACTGAAAGAGAAACAAGAGAAAATTAGATGACAGCAGTAAAGGTCACTGAAATCTCTGCAGTTGCTGTGCAGCCCCTTACAGCAGGTCAGAAGTTAGGCTGCACTAAGTCTATCTGGAGAAACCCAAAGAGAGACAACCTTTAAAGGCTGTTTGGAAGAACAATCTGTATCATCAGATCTGAGAAAGCTGGAGCCAGCATCAGGGCTAGAGAAGCTCCTTCTGAGGTAACTCTTCTGAAACAAGTATTTCCCTGGCAGGATGAATGGCAGGGGAGTTCACTGCTACGTGCTGCACATCTGTTTGCACTAGTTTTGCTTATTGGGTTGACAACATAAAATCTCTCAGACATGCTCTGGTTGCCAAGCATTTAAATTTAGCCCCTTTCTGTTTAACTAGAGGGAGTACAATGTGTAAGCATGACCACAGTAAATATCCTCCCACTCTGGGTACCTTCATCTCCTGACGAATGATCACTATTAAGAGAAGATCATCACAGGGTCTGAGCTCCCTGGGAGACAAAGGCTGGCTCCTGAGCTGGGCAGTGTGTGTCAGACAAAGCAGCTCTCACTCCAGCTCAGGCACCTTTGTGTGGCTGGTTTTGAGCACGCTGAGGGGAGCTCCCCTCTCTGCCAGCTCCCCCCATGCCCACAGGGGTTGTGGGATGCCCAGAGCTCACCCCTGCCCTTGGAGCTGTGAGGAGAAGCAGGCAGCTGCCTCCCTGGAGGCATCGTGTTGGGGTGCAGGGACTCCCCACAGAGCTGGGGGAGACACCCCGTGACCTGCACAAGCCTCTTCTGGCTGTTTGGGGGCTGTGGGGGAAGGGCTTTTACTTGCAGCAGAACCTGGGGTGGGTCCTCTCCCTTTTCCTTGCACTGCTTGTGAATGCAATAAGGCTAATGTGTCCCACAGGATAGTGCAAGCCAAGACAATACATTTGATTTTGACCCCAGTTTACAACTGGGAAACACAGCAGGGATATTAGCTATTACCACTGACATTTTCCATTCTCTCACATACATTTCCTAGGATGGATAAATGTCACCTCAGCATGCACTTAATCCTTCCTTCATGCACTGAGGAAGCAATCCATTGTTCCAGAATTACAGTTTTTCTGCAACTAAGTACATTAATTTAATATGCACAGAAATAAGCAATCCCTTAATATGTATAATCCTGTAAAGCAATAAGCATGTGTTGCTACCAATTATCCCTCGTGCATATTTTGCTGTGGCTAGAATATTAACATAAAAATGACATAAAACCATTAATCAGCAGCATAATGCAGTTTCATCTCTAACTCCTCGTGCTCATTTCACATCCTGGTGTAACACAACACACACCCTCAACCAACACATCCCATGGGGGTACAGAAACTTTGTCTAGAATACAATGTGTCTATCAAATCTCCATCACTTCCTTGGGTTTTGGTTTTATAAATATTAAAAAACCAAAAATAAATGTCTAATACGTTCAGTTTCAATCCTTGTGTTAAGATTCTTACCAAGGTGCTCCAGTTCTCCACACTGGCAATGAAAATGTACAGAATGATTTTCAGCTTATTGCACTGCAAGTGGTAATTATAATTACACAAGGTACAAATGCAGAGTGGCCTTGCTCAGAAATGAAAGGCAGGCAATGGAATCAACCACTCTGTATCAACTCTTCAAGGAAGAACGTGTCTTTTTAACTAAAAAACTTTTTTTCCCCCCAAAGTAGTGGTCAGCACAGTAATATGACTTCATTCTGAGTTTCTCTGCATGTTAAGTCAGAGTGGAACATTTCCATATCCCTCTTTTTCTGCTGGTAACTCTGCAGTGACTTCAGTGCATCTGGGACGTGGCCCCTCTCAGGTACCTATGCAAACTACCCCCTCCATTTTGAGAAGAGCCTCCTTAGCATGGCCTCTTTCTTTGCTTCCAGAATAAAGTATTTTTACAATACCATTTATAATTCCATGTAGTATTTCACACAGGAACAGCGTTTCATAACCCAAAAACCTGCCACAATTAGGATAGAATAAGAACTGACCCACAAAGGGCAGGGGCAAATTTCTTATCGACTTCAGGGGAAGTGGAATTTATAGAAGATACATTATCTATATTAGACAGAAACCTGCACATACACTTCAAGGTAGGTGATGTATTGATTTCTGGAAATTAACAGTTTTAGAGTGTATGAGATGTGATTCATGCTGTAGTATACTCTAGTTACTTCTAGTTATACCAGTAATTTCTTACTAGTTACTGAAACTGCTGGCTCTGGACAGTCTGAAGCAAGACATGAATCCCCTCCTGGGAGAGGAGACAGTGCCTGTGGTGCCACTGCCTTCCCCTGGGAGGTAGGGATCTGCACGTGCACTTCTAACTGATGGCAAGGACACCAGCAGTCTGTTCTCAAACTCTGCAAGAGATGTGTTCATCCACAGAAATACAGCAGCACATCCCACCTCCCAACTAGTTTCTAGCCCAACTTTCTAGTCCAGCCCCTAAGAGGTCTGGTTTACTAGAGGCCTACAGGTATTAAAAGTACAAACCAGTATCCCTGCATCCCCACCCAGCTCAGGAGACACCTGAGGCACAGATAAAAGAGCTTTAAGGCTGAACTTACTTATGAACACTATGATAATCAAGCTGAATTTATCAAGGTCGATATTGGGATTGGCAAAAGTATCACAGAAGGTTGTGTAGATGATCATCAGGAGCACACAGCTGCTGATAGCACCAAATGGAGGCTTCTTCCTTTCAAGCCAGTCCTTGATGTATCTCCGGACAATCTGAAACACAGAAACCAACAGGTTGCCTCTTTTCAAAGATGCAGGGAGCCAAGTTGGGCATCACAAAGTGAATCTGACAGCAGAAAGGCACAAAGAGAAGAGAGTAATTTGGATGACGGCCACAGTGGATTTCAAAGCTTCCCTGCCACACAAGTCTTCTTCTGGGGGATTTAACATTTGTAGTGCAACTTCCACTGGGCGTCCATAATGAGAGTATATTTTCAAGTACATTCAAATCCATCCTTAATCATGCCAAATGTTCTTTGCTAGCTGTCACTGAGACGTGCCCATTAAGCCTCCCCAAAGTTTATCTCCTCTGCTGATACTAATGGATGTATGTAATTATCACAGTCCCCTTTGCACCAACAGACAATTCCAAGTGCAACTTTGGGAATCTTAAAAATCTGACATCTTCAGGAATTTCACGATGGTAGATAATCGAAAGTGATCCATGGAACATTTTAATATTTAAATAGCTAGCGATGCACCAGAAGTTTTTAATTAAATTATAACTCAAGCTTGAAAAGCAAAAGTGCATGTGTTGTGGGAGTTTAAATAATTTAAACTCTGAATATCTAGAGTTTTTGTAAATCCAAAGACAAATGCCACTTGCACGCTTTTAGAATACCAGAATTAACACATGAAAACAAGGAGACCTACTGTACTTAGTGCAACTTTTACACGTTCAGGAAACAGAATCTGAGGTTCTTTTCCCATAATTTTTTAGAAACAAGTATAAATTTTAAAGTAACTTCAACTTTCATATTATGCCAGACAGGACAAGACTAAGCCTCAGCAGATACAATGCATCTATTTCAGCCCTGCCTGGGGAGCTGCTTTTAGTTCTTCTCTTGACTTCATATGGTTTGAAAAAACTTTTTTTTCAGCTTTTATCTTGCCTGATTTCTCTTGAGACCTCCCCATGTTCTCTGTTACCAAGATCTCTCAGAAATAATAGCACGAGGTCGTTGAAACATTTCTACCAGAGAAATTTCTACCAGTACCATTGATAAACATCACCACGATCGGCTTAATAATACAGCAGATTTTAGAGATATTCAAAATTAATATCAAAGCATCATCACCAGTGCCACCACAGGACCTTTTCACACACAAAGCTGTCAGCTTTCCTCACTGCCTTCCCAGCTTGTTTGTGAGTCTCTCAACAGGGAGGTCCTGGAAGCAGCCACCCCAGTCAGCACAGCAAAGAGGCTTCAGTGACCCCACGGCAGGGCACGTACCAAAAACTGGGCACATGGGGTTCACACAAAGCTAAGCAGGCTGAAGGCCAGCACTTCCCTCCCAGTCCTGCTGAGGAAAAATAACAGATTTGCAGGAAAACATGTCAGGGAATTCTTAAGGCCCCGGTGCAAACGCTCAGCTTGAAAATTTCAGGCTTGGCAGCTGTGAAAGAGAGAACACAACTCGGAATCCGTGGCCAAACTTCTGGAAGGGCTTCAGTGGAGCTCCTTCAGCCACCTCCCAGGTAGGGTAGGAACAAGACACAGCACTGATGAAAGAGACTCAAGCAAGCTCAGTGGAGGTATTTAGTGTGCAGTGTGAAAGACACCAAAGGGGAACACCAGATTAGTCTAATCTTTCTTAGCAGATCTGGGACCCTGAAATCATCAGAAGCAAAAAGCGCCAAACTTCTGGAAGGGCTTCAGTGGAGCTCCTTCAGCCACCTCCCAGGTAGGGTAGGAACAAGACACAGCACTGATGAAAGAGACTCAAGCAAGCTCAGTGGAGGTATTTAGTGTGCAGTGTGAAAGACACCAAAGGGGAACACCAGATTAGTCTAATCTTAGCAGATCTGGGACCCTGTAATCATCAGAGGCAAAAAGCCAAGTCTTTCACCTCTAAAGTGAGTAATTCCTAAGGAAGTTTTTAAAAAAAACCAACAACTACTATCCCTTACAGTCACACTGGGGAAAAAGTAAAGCTACTTAAGACCACCTATTTATTATGATCCTTCCAGAAGATTTATACTGAAAGTAATGAGATGTTGAAAAAGAAAAGTGATGGCTCATTATGCCACAGTACAACTCATACTGGAGGTATTTATTGTGAAAACTATAATCTTGTGTTATAATTATAGCATACATGCCAATAATAACTTTATATACATAATTATCATGGGCTGACATAAGAAAAAAACATTTTAAAAATGAAACTGCCACCAGTATTTCCTTAAAATCTTCAGTTGGTTGATATCTTCTTTAAATATCCACACTTCTCCCTAGTCTGGAAGTACTGTGCATCAACAACCATAAATACCACTATGGATTCTCACTGTACATTGGGTTTTTTTTTCCCCACAAAATTACATAGTCAGACCCTATGCAGGATGAAATTGTAGCTTCAGGAAATCATTTAATCAATCCAGTGTCGTGCTAAAGGTATACTGTAAAACCACAGACAAAATACATCCTCTCTAACACAGAATCCAATACATTTTGATCTTCTCATAAGGTTGAAGAAGATCTATAATTTCAGAGGTCGATTCAGCCCATGATCACTGATTCAAGGTAATTTAAATTCTTGTAACTTAAGAGGGGAGAAATCTAAACTACACGTATCTGTAAAAACTCAGCTAGATTTTTCACAGGGAATCTCATGCCAGCTGATTCATTCTGACTGAAAAACAATCCATTTGTTACTTATTCAGGCCCTGCAGAGTTGTTTCAGGACAAGGATGCTTTGAAAGCCTTTTAACTCTTAACCCAATTCTATAACTTTTCAGGGTTAGCACAGAACTTCAAAAAAAATGTGGAGATTTGTAGTTGAGTAATAAATCCCACAAATATAATAAAGACAACACATAAAAACCCAAAGCCAGCCAGCCAGTGAACATTCTGTGGTGCCAGCAGTGTCAGAAAGTCTAAGAGAGGGTGAAAAGCCACAAGCAACACAGATTGCAATTATTAAAGAACCTCAGAGGTAATTTGGAGCCTAGGTAGAGAGATTAAGCTTAATTTGTTTGCAAACACAGCAAAAGCTGAACCAATCACTTTTGCATGCTGTGGCCCATCTGAAGGACACCAGACTAGGGCACCACAGCCAAGTGCCACCTCTCAGTTGAAATAAAGTCCAGCATCTTGAAGCACAGGGGACAAGAGGAGGACAAGCCCCTGAGAAACAAACAGTTGAGACCAAGCCTGAACTGATACTCCTGTGAAAAGGTGAACTCACAGCCTGGTGTAGAAATAGGAACGACTGGCATCCAAAATAGATGCATCACACTGGCACACTGATGGAAAAGAGCAAGAAGTGGAGTGCTCTTCAGATGCAGTAGTTCCACAGCTCCTAATAAAAGGGAATTCCTCACATAAAAAATGCAGTTCAAAACATCTTGTGAGGGGAAGAAGAGGTAGGCAGAGATGTTGGAAGAATAATAATTATGTGAAACATAAAAGCATTTTCAAAGGTACTTTACAGGGGGGAATGCTGCAGGATGCTGCCGTGCTGCAGAGGACGTGTGCATGATTTTTAAGGTGCAAATCTCAGGGTACAAAGGCCTGGGAAGCCATATCCCTGCTGAGATTCCTGCAGAATCCCTCCTGCAAGGAGGGCTTTGGGGCCTCTGGTCCTATGGTAGTGATCACATTAGGTATGATGAACTGCAAGGATTTTTTTTGTGCAGATTCAAATGCCAGCCCCAAAAAGCAGGAATTCCTGATGGCTGAACTGGAGGTTGCAAATGAAAGAACAGTGCAGAGAGAATCCTTCCCTCAAGCTGTGGTTTAGTGGAGAGAAGAGAGGAAGAGAAGCAAAACTTTGTAGGAGGTGATGTTTCATAAACAACCTGCACGATGAAAGATGCTGATAAAGAAAAGTTAGATGAGAAAAGAACATCAACAGTCTGTCAGGCAACTACCTCCTGGTGACTAGGTCCTGGCAATTTCCAAAGGCTTTTGGAAAGGCATCAGCCCAAATTTGCTTCAGAATAGAGTTCCAGGCTCAAAATTTCCTCTTGTCCAAGACTGAATTCCTAACCACAAAGGAATCTGATTACAGATGGATTAACAGTATTGCCCCCATTTCCATCCAGTTCTTCTAGCAGAATGGTCACACCCACAGCATTTCTCCTCCAGGCTTCTCTGTATCCTGCCACAACCTCCTTGTCTCAACACCAGCCTCCCTAAGCAAACAGAGCAGGCAGGTGGAAATGCTCTAGCTGAAGTGCTGGGTGTACAAGATAAAAAAGGCAACAAACAACATAATTCATTAATGTTCATTATTAATTGCACTAAATAGGGCAAGGAGCTCCCCCCTCATCTATGGAATGGAGTAGTTTCTGACACTTGCAATACAGTGCACCTTTTAAAAATTATCTAGATCTTCAACTTTTGGGTTAAACCCATGAAGTGAAAAAAACCAAACAAACAGGGAAATGGTTATAAAGTCACTTTTTCCATTTCCCTTATTCACAAAAAAGTATCTGTTGGCACTTAAATTATTACACAAAGTGCATTTTCCCTGACTCCATCAACTCTTTGGGACTGATTTCATCTTTAACAGAATATAGGATGTTTTTACTGCACTTCTGCTCCCCCTGTTTACTAGGCATTGGAATGTACTTCTATATACCTGGGCAAAACACCTGGGGCTTTACCATTCAAAAGAGAAACACAAATCACTTTATGTTGAAAGAAGCTGAAACTGTGCTGGATTATGAGGATACCTAAAGGCAGCAGTTCACTTATTTACTTTGTCTTTTAAGGTGAGATTCCTACCTCATTCTTAACTAACATTATTACTACTTACAGCAACAGATCTTTGCAATGACCTCTGCAATGCAAAGTTTTCTTTGGGAAAGCTCTGAGTCAGGCTACTTGCTACAGTTCAATAACTTCTCAATAGCTTTTCTTGCATAGTGGTGGCAAACCAAGAAAGAAGACTGCATGGAATGTAGGGAGCTACTTCAGTGAAACCTGGAAGGTGTGAAAGGGGGAAAAATTGGGACAAAAAATGAACTAAGGTCATAGCAACTGTGAAAACCAGCAGAAAGAGTCAGATACTGGAATGTGAGAGAGATGATGCAGATTGTATAAGTTCCATAAATAAGATGCAACACCTTTCACAGGTTTCTATAGCATAGCCATCCTCCATATATCCAAGGTTTGCATCCCAGTTCAGGTGCACAGCTCCTTTCCCAAAGCACAGCTCATCTCTTCAGCCAGGCCTGTGTGAAGAGACAGCTCCTCACTTGGTCCTGGGTGCAATCTAAGGTTTTCTAAATATGGGGAAAAAAAACCCCAAATTTTGCATATCTTGGAGGGGTGGGAAGGGAAGTCTTTTTTACAAGCATCTTGTTTTCTTTCCTCAGCTTACCAAAGTCCCCTAAAAGCCATCCTACTCCATTATGTCAGTCAGTGTACTCCCAGGAGATAGCTCCTGACACATCTAAGCTTTCTAAAACCCACACGAGGCCATTTCCAAAATTAACTTTCACGTTTTGGGGTAATTTACAACTGTTGCTTTAAAAGCTTACAAACAGGTGCAGCATGGCAACACTGGAAAGGGAGCCCCTGGCAGCAGGATGTGTTTTCTTCATATTCAGTGGAGACCAGAGTCTGTTCCCTGAGTCAGGCACCAGAAGGGAGCAAACTGTGGTCTGAAGGCTGTTTATCTGCCATCTCAGTTTTCTGCAACAAGCTTCTAGAAGCACTCATCTCCCAGGGTACCACTCCTCCTCCCTGCAGCTCCCCTGGACACTGAAGAGAAAGCAGAGCTGCTTCCATGTGGATTTAAGTCACAAGAATGAAAGGATCTGACACCATTCCCTTTTTAGAAGAGTTTAACTATTGTTTCCCTCACCCACTCACTCTAAACACCAGGCTTAGGTGAATAGTGCTTTCTACTCCCCAGAAACTGTCACCTACCTCCTCCTTTCAATTTCTTCTTCTTTAAAAATAAATACCTTTTTAGTTTCAGTACCACTGACAACTTGTATTGCAACACAGCACCCTGCTAGAGTTGTGTTTATCACCATGCCTCCCCAACACTGATAGGGCTCCTCTGGAACATTTTGGGCAATGATGCAGAAGACACTTCAAATCCTTTACTTGTAGGACACCAAGATTTTTTTTGTGTGTGACTAGAATCAGCGAGGATTCCTGTCAACCACCTTCATTTTATAGATTTGGGAAGAAGAACTACTTAGAATCATAACATTAATTTTAGCTTTAGTTAAGGTCTGTTTAATGTGAAGTGCCCACTTTACGCTGGCAGACAAATTACCAATGGGGCAACTAGAGAATGCATGAATGATAATGTACAGACAAGCTTTTTATTATTTATTCATAGAAAACAGTGGGTTTTGGTGTGCTGCTTTGAAAAATGTTCAAACTAGTAGAATATAATGAAAGCACAGTGAAAATTCTATTTCATTAACATTTAATCATAAATCGCTCTTTAATATAAAACATAAAATAAAAGTCTGTCATGAGCACTTAGGTGTAGAGAGTGGAGGAAGTCTGCAAAAAGGGGAGAGGAAATATTGCCATGGTTTTCACTGTTCCTGTTATCTGTCATTTCAGAAGATAAAAAATAAGCAAAGAAACCACTGTCTTCAGCCCAACCTCACAACTGGCCATGAAGAAACTGCTTAGACATTTCTTGAGACCCTACATTTTGCTGGATAAAAGTATTACCAACACCTACAGACAAGGACACCATGATTTTAGCAAAACCTCAGGAGCAGCAATCATCAGAACTCAGCTACACAGGCAAAAAAAAAAAATAATCACAACTTCAAGCTGCCAGAGCAGATTCAAAAATCTCTTCCCTGAAATGTCTGTTGCTGTGTTTATCGTGTAACAAGTATTGTCAAATTCCCCTCAGAGGTATACAAGGGCAGTGCACAAATAACAAGCTCCTGCTACAGATCTCCAATGCTTACAGAACATGAGATCTTTATAAAATACTATGGATTGTGTCTCTTTTCAGGGCCTCTTGCCAGAGAGCTCTTATTAGTCACTCTATAACCTCAGCTATCAACGCTGATTTGATAACATCGTACTGCAAATTAGGAAAACATCTGTAGAACAAAGGATGGAGGCCACAATGTCTTTCTAGGGTTTGCCAGGCAGAAAAGAAAGAGGAGAAAATAAGCATATATTACACCATTGTGCCTTCTTTCTCCCAGCCATCATTAAAAATTCTGACACGTCAGCCAAGCAACCAAAACTCTTGATGCATTTTTGCCATAAAGCAAACAAAAAACCCCCAAACAAAACAAATCTAAAAGCACCTTCTCATCTGCTTTCCTTAAATCCCAGGGGCTGCTCCAACAGCCAGCTCTGCAGCCTGCTCAGGAAATGAGCATTTAGGCAACACAGGTTTTCCCAGAGGCAAGATTTTTTTAAAGGAAAATAAAGCCCTTGGAGAATGCTTCTTTTAAGCAGCCTTCTCTCTTTTACACTGATGTGGATCGAGGGTGAAGCCTCTGTTGATCACAGCTGAGTTAGGCAGGCTGCAGAGAAGCAATCCTCCAACCAGGCAGCTTCCAAGCTGATTTTTTTCCCCCCCAATCAAGCTCTTTGCTACCGAGTAACCTGACCAGGCATTCTTCCAGTGACTCTCCTGCTGACCTGTGCATGGGGCAGAACAGAGATTGTGGGCATGAAATGATAAATTAGAAGTAATTGTTGAAACTGCCATTCATGAATTGTGGGCCATTATCTCTTAATGCAGCTGGAATCCCAGAGTGAGCAACTTGTGATTCACAAAGCAGGAGCAGGCTGCTGTGCCTCATGTGGTGCAAAGAGTTCAGTAATGAGGGAGTAGTGGGCTACAAACCAAATGCAAAACTTCCCATTGAATTGGAAGGGATCCATACCACCTCTGGATGAAGGCTAAGCAGACCTACCACTGCATCTCCTGGTGTCACTCCTTTCCTTACTTATTTTTTCCCTGATTACAGCACATTATTTTTTGCTACCCACCCCCAAAAATGGCTTCTAATCCTATATGGGCAAGTTGGTTTCCCTTTGTAAAGCTCTACCTAGGCAAGACTGTCAATGTAAAATATCCTTGGCATTTTTGATCTGTAGCTATTCTTAGCATTTCCCCTCTTCTATTCTTAGCATTTCCCCTCTTCTATGTCCTCTGAACAGATATAATGAACTTTAGAAACAAAGTCTTTATGCTTAGAGGAAAGCAAGCTGTTGACCATTCATTTCCAGAAGCTGCTTTAAAGGAGAGTCATCCTATTTCTTCTTGAAGTGTACTTATAAAAACCAATCTCTTAAATAAATTTGTCATTGAGTTACAATCTCAGTCTTTGCCAGAGGGCCTAAATCACATCTGCTCTCAAGTTAAGTCTCACCACAGTTCTGATCTTGAACTTAGGATCACTCAGAGCACTTATTTCATATGCTCACTGCTCAGTTCATGTTATTTAGCCTTGTTATTTGGTGCAGCCAAAAAAAAACAAAACCCCACCAACCCAGCAATTTCTTAGCATGCTGCAGCACACATACAAAGTCTCCTTGAAGTTTTGCAATCATTTTGTTTAGAAATCTACAACCACCTTCAGGCTTATTCCATTGCAGTACAGAACTCCATCACTGTAGGTTACTGCCTGTTCTTATTGTGCATTCTGAAGGCCTGAGAACAACAAATATTTACAAGCATAAGAACTAGGCTTTGGATGTTTTGGTGACACTTCTGACAACTTTTGGTTTTAATATAGCAATTTCTCCTCATGATATGGAAGAAAACTACTAACATTAGTGAAAAAACAGATACTACAGAGACAAGTGTCACAGAAAATCTTACATTGCAATCAGTATCTTTACATTCAGTGAAAAACTTCTATCACATGCCATGAAAAATAAGGCCTCGTGTTACAGTATGAACAATGAGTATAAGCTGAAATATTGAATAGCTGCTTATTCCATGAATACTCTCCATCCAATGTATCAAATGATAGAGGAGACATGCAGAAAGAACAACTTGTAATTGTGCAATTAAAACCCTTATTGTAAAATGTACAGAAAATGGCTCGAGCAGTGGTAATTTTATGATTTCTTAACTTATGGCTGCTTAGCCCTTGTATGTTTTATCCTATTTATTTTTATGTGATTAGGATACTGCACAGGGAGAACTTCCTTCATCATCCAGGCAAAGGGCATGTGAGAAAAGGACTGCACTGTATTCTCCAAGCTCATTTGTATGGGGCTGGAATTTCTCCCAGCCTGGGCTTTCATTTTTCCCACTTTCTGTTCACAAACTCCCTTCTCGCTATGCAGTAACGTGTGTTTGTGGGAGTGAGGGACAGATGCTCAATCTCAACAAAGATCAATGTGGCTCCAGGGAGCACTGTAGCATCTTTTCTCTGATATTAGACTTCACTATCCTGAGGCTGTTCCTATGTGGCAGCTTAGCAGGTTGCCAGTCTGTCTTTAAGATAGCTCTCTTTATCTTATTTCTTTAAATAAGTTCATATATTTAAAAGACATACCTGTCCAATGATCAGGGGGACTACAACAGTCATAAACAGCTGTGAGAATATAGATGTAAAAGGCACAGAGGAGGATGATCCAAGCTGCAAAATAAAAATATACCATTAATATTACACTTTTTCTTAGTATCTGAGTTTCACACATAGATATCAGGCATTAGTATACATTTTATTTTGCACATAAAAACTGGGAAGTATGTGTACAATCTTGGAAATAAGTGTGCACATATTTAATTAAGTCCCAATAAAGCATTTGGTATAGCACAATAACAAAACTAAACCAATCTCTGGTTGATTATTTTATAACCTAAGGTAATAGTTGTGTCAATAGTCATTTAATGGGAACTCTACTACACGTATATACCAAGTATATTATATAATCATTTGTAGGATGATAGTCTAAAAAGACAGGGAGTGAATCTTCCCAAACAGTAGTAGCTTGATTAACTTCACCATTTGTATAGATAAACAACACAAGTTGGTGTAGTCTTCAACAAATTTTCAACAAATTAAAGAAAAAAATACAGTGAAGACATTCACGTTTTATTTTAATGATGTTAAAAAAGAGAAGTATTGAAAGTGTGCAGCTATTCTTTCATCAAGACAACTAAACTGTGACAGGCTTGGTCTTCAAATAGATGATCTCTTTAATTACAGTTGTAAATGCTTGAAATATGTATTTTTTAAAGGATGCTGACAGAAAAGGTGAACAGTCAGTGGGATTTCTGCAACCTAGTTCAGAATGCCCAGGAAAATAGGCAGTATTTTTTACATTCTGATGGGTCTTGTTTTGTGCTAGGTCCTTGAAAAGTTTCATTAAATGTAATTTAACATATCTTCAGCAGCACTTATGAAACACACAGCTAGAAGACTGAAGTAGCATTTTCAGAACTTCCACAGACAACTGGTTGCTCATGATGAGGGGGAATGACTTAACATTGAGGATTCCACATCCACATTATCTTATATTCTGCACTTCACTGTAAAGATCCTCAAAACAATGACCAACTTTACAACCTCCACAGCTCCATCTCAACGATGCTGAGCTCCTGAGCCTTCTCACCTAGGTCATTCTCACAAATTATGCTCAGATGGTGTTATACTTTTGACACTCATCTTCCTTTCAAAGCTATCTGCAGGCACGATACACAAAGTGATCATACAATCCAGTCACTTCCTATAACTCTGCCAAGAAAAATCAACATATGGTCATGAAAATGAGTTTGGTATAAAACCAGATTCTTCAGAAATTCAAAGAACAGAAAAGTTAGAAAAACTTCACATGCTGAATTATTTTACCATATTCAGCAATGTACAACTGCAACCTTTACCTGCATAAAGAAAATCTGATGAGAAAACACCAATTTTGCACTTTTGCAGTGGTTTCTGTGTAAATGCACAGCTTGGGGCAACAGTGAACACATCTGTGGGGCTCTCTGTATGCAAGCTGAGCTTTTGATGCAAGCCAATGGCACCAGAACTGGGAAACAGCACAAAATGGAATGAAGTTCTGACAGCAGGAAACCATGGGACTTGAGAATCACAGAGATTTTTGACCTCCAAGTTGGGTGCAAGTAAGAGCATTGAGATCAAGGAGCTTAAATTTCCCTTGGAGTCAAGAAGTAGTGAAGGCTTGAGAGGGAAGATTCAAAGCACCCATGTGGACACCTGAAGTCAGGCACTACAGCTACTCCATTCCCAAGGGACATGACTCCTTGCAGAAAGTGGAGCAGCAAACTCCATCCCACCACTCATCATCTCCTTGTTTTAATTCTCGTAAGGAGCTTCTGAAATTTTAAAAGGCCCATAGTTTTTCCATCTGTATTTGGACTTTTTTTTGCTGTATGCTGAGGAGCTAAAAGCCTTACTTACTGTGTATTGAAGGAAGCTTTTTCAAGGGAAAGGGAAGATTTTTAAACTTTAACATCTGCCTGAGTCACAGAGGAGTGAATCTAACCAAGCAGCCCATATGCCAGGACCCTCTACCTGTCTTCACAAAACCATGACACTTGGGCACAGGCTTTTGTGCATTTTTATAAAAATGTTGATAAAAACTGGATTTCTCTCACTGCTTGTATTTTTATGTTCAGTGGATGCATAACCTGTTTCTAAGTCAGGAATGAAAAACTGTTCAACAATGTCAGAGACTGCACAAAAAGGCAGTCACTCAAACAGCCAGACTCTTCATAGCTTTTTAAAATATTACTTCAAATGTAGTGTCTGCAAACTGTTGTAGATTTCTAAACACTTGGTATATATAGGGGTATGTTTTGATTTGGGTTTTAGGGGATTTTTTTGTTGTTTAGTTGCTTTGTTTTCTTAACTAATTAAAACTATGCTTACAGGTGCTGTGCTGGGATGCTAAACTAATTTGCCTAAGAAAAGCAGAATTCTTTCATTCAAAGAAATAATCATCTACATCAGGATATCAGGGCATGGTTCTGCAAGTGTTTGTTGGATATGGCTGTAATTGAAGAGAATTTCAGGCAAACCTTTCCAAACAATTCTGTCACCATGCAGTACTTCAAGCCTGACCTGCCATGTTCTGGCTAATTTAGTCCTAGACCTTTCTCCTCAAGGGAGTACCCATTTTAAAACAATCCTAGCAAAATATTTAGTGGGTTTCTTTATGAGTTTGTGGTAGAAATACTGGCTAATCCTTAATTGATGGACACTATTTAACTAAATGTGAAAATAAAAAGCAAAAACCAACCAAACAAAAGAAGCCTTCCTTGAATAAAAGCAGGAGACTCCCACCTCCCAGCCCAGAGTGCCTCCACGAGGCAGATGCTCCATTCTCATCCTTCTGGCCCACCAGGCAGCTCTCACTGTGGGTGTTCCCATGTCCACAACTGTCACTGCCTCAACAGAAACACCTCCTGCCAGTCACAGCAAATTATACTCCAGCCCAAAGTGCTGCACGTATCCAGCCCAGGTTGGAGGCAGCTCTCCTCTGGGGCCTTGCTCTGCCACTGTTCTCCTGCAATTAACACGTTTCCTCAGGTTGTGTCTTTGTGCTCTTCACACACCACCAGCCAGCTCCAGCCTCCCCTTTTGCTGAGCAGGGCCAAGGAAGTGAGGCAGGGTGAAAGCAGGGCAGAACTTTGGGGGGTGAGTCACTGGCTGCTCTCTCATGTGAAAACTTTATGCTTTTTTTTTTCCCCACCTTCAAGTCAGGCTCCCCTGTCACTTGTCTTTTGAAATTGTGTGTCCAGTGCTGTAGCATCACTGCTTCTGATCACTCTCATCCAGTTCAGACTCAGCTGCCTCAGAGGCCTGTCTGGAGCACCTCATGTGCTCATCCCTTTATGTCCTGGTGGGATGACAGAAAGGACAGGGAAAGTGCTGCACTTGTAGAAAAGATGTGGATGGGATCCAGCTCAGTCTTGAACAACATTGACCAGCTGAACTAAGCCCTCCCTTGCTTTGGACTCTTTCCAGAGCCCTGAGAGGCATGCACAGGGCCCCCAGTAACCCAGCTCAGGCTTTGGGAGGTAGGAAGCATCCATCCTGCTTCATGGGAACAGCACTGACACCCACCTCTGAGTTCCACAGTGCCCAGCTCGAGGTTTCAGGCAGGAGGTCAGAAGAGATGAAATGGTCATTCCTAATTAATAACATTTCACAGCAGCCTAAACAGAGCTGGGAGGTCACTGGGGTGTTCTTCCCACTCCACTGTTTTAAAGGCATTCACATGCAGAGCATCTTGATCCCATTCAATGGTTTGGCAGTTGTGTATGTTAACATAGATCTTGCACTGTTATTCTTCACAATGGAAGGTAGCCAGAAATGTCTAGTTCTGCTAAAGAAAAGAGATGTTCTGGTCTTACATGTTGCAAGTTCTTGCATATTCTGTATGCTCCCATGGCTGTGGGAGTTTGATTTGGCACAAGCAGAAAAGTCTCACCATCTACATATGCCCTGGGGTTTTGTTTCAAGAAAAAAAAAAAGATTAAAAGTCAAAGTTTCAAAATCAGAAGTGTGGAAAAAGGACAGCTGACAATCTGTCAACTTTAACCTTTTATTTATTTGTTTATTTTATTTTCTGGCTTGGGCAAGTGGACTGTAGATTTTGGGGTTCCCTTGTTGAAGTGACCACAGATGCTTAATCCCACTCTGGGTTCCCCTGTGATACATTAAATATGAAGCCAATCCAAATACCCCCATCAACTGTAAAGCCTTTATAGAGCTGTAGAACTAACCATTGGTACTCTTAATCTCAAATATACCAAGCTCCTCTTCCACTTCACCACAGCACAAGGATCTTGAGGGCTAATGTAAAGCAGTGGGATCAAGCATACAACCCAAAGGCACCTAAATGGGAATTAGGTGATTAATACCCCTGAAAAGCTGAGAGTTAAGGCTAGTATCCAAAAATACTGCTGGAAACAAGGGGATGACTAACTGGAAAGAAACAGATTAGTAAATACAGGATAATTAAGAACCATGAAAATGATGTATCTGTGAAAAAGGCAGCTGTGATGTACCAGGAGAACTAAATCAATGAAGGTGGGGGATACTTGTGACACTGCACGAGGCCTGGGTGAGAACACTGTGGAGAACACTGCACAACTGGGCACAATTCATACTGCCTGGGCTGAAGAAGGAGCTAAAACTGGAAGAGATGCACAAAACACCTCATAAAATTCTCTGATGTTAAAATTCTCTTAAAGGTTAGAAATGCAGGGCTGGGAAAGAAGTCAGGATTGTACAGGGTGATGAATTTCAGAGAAGTGCCATTCAGGTGTAGGATAACATTGGCAACAAAGACAAATGGGTAAAGAACCTGTCACAAATACTGGAAATTAGCTTTCTGCTCATCAGAGACACAAGTTTCTGGCATTGCCAGGGTGGAAGGAGAGCAAAAATCCTTCCTTTGAAGTTGGATCATATTCAGTTTTGAGGTGAATTGCACAGCATGGAAGAGAACTGGGTGAGCTGGGATGAGATCCTCCTGGTATCCTGGCTCTGTTAAGATGTGTGGTTAGCTTCTGCTATGTAGAAGCAGGATGGACACTTCAAAGGCTCCCCTAGCATTGCGCAGATGAAAATTTCAAGAGCAAAACCAACTAGAAAGTCCTCTGCAGAAACATTACATATTTTAGAGTCCTCTACTTAGACAAATTTACAGTATGTGTGTCAGGAAAACGGAGGGCCCCTGTTATTCTCTGACTGTTATTTGTATCCAATTTATATAACAAAGCCATAAAAGGCAGACTGGAAAAAGGAATAAAATGATTAAGCAAATATTCAATGGTAGTCCTTAAAAAGTCCTAGTAAATTGTCAAGGGTTTGGATCAGATTAGAGAATTTTGTCTTCCCAATGATTAAACAGAAAGGAAGTGGTGAGGTAAATAACCAGGTAGAAATAATGATGCACTTGAATCTTCCACATGGCTGAGCTGATCTGTGAACAGCTCAGGCACTGTGCTGCTCCCCCTCCCCTCCTCCCCACTGTAATCAGCCTTTTGTCACATACCAGTGAAATCCATTAGCTGCAACTTCCTTATTAACGTCCAAGTGTTCCAGCTACTAAAGTATTTGCATATTTAACGATTCATTTGACTGGTATCAACTCTCATTTGCCAAGTGCTTGAGAGGAAAAACAAGGCACAGCGTGTAGAAACCCTGTTTAAGAAAATATGTCATGACATCTCCATTTAATAGAAAGATTTATCCAAAATCCACAGGGTTGGAGACAACTTGGCAAAATTTTCAAAATAAAAATTTTGAAAACAAAGTATCAATAACTTTTAAAACAATCTTTTCATTTAAGAAATGTGAATATAGGGGAAAGCTTTTAGCTTCAGTATTTTAATCAGCTTCTAGTCTCATTTGTGTCATTTTATTTCACTTTTCTCTGCAATACTTGCCCAGAACTTCCTTCATTTGTCTTCTGCTGAATGCTTTCAGCAGCACTACTTGCTGGTACTTATGGCATCACCACTACAAGGCCATCATAAAAACAGCTACTATGAGATTCAGAAATTTGAGAGAATACCAGAAAAGAAAACATCAAGAAAAGAAGCAAGCTGATAAAGCCATGGGAAGATTCCTTTTTGACACAAATGTCATGGTAATCTTCTTTGGTACAACAGCAGACACAGGAGTAACGTGTGACAGTTACAGGGAGGTTTTTGCCAAGTATATTTTTTAAAATACACATGAATTTTGCATTGGCTCTTTAACATTCCATGTTAACTGGTTTGCAGGCATGCTTCTGAAGAATGTAAAGTACATAAAAATGTAAAACACTTACTTAACTCTAACATTTTTCTTTGATGGCTTTCAATAAAAATACATCCTCACACCTTGAGTGTTACTTTGATAGCTAACTGCCTGTTCTTCCAGCAACTCATCCCTCACTCATTGAACCTTGAAGCCACATCCCTCACTCATTGAACCAAGAAGGTGGCAGAGCTGGGATGCCACCCCACAGCATCATGTTTGACTCCAATAGCTGAGCAGATTAACTTCAGGTATTTTGATACCAAATACAGTCAACAAAATCAGAAGCTTGTGTGACTTGCTGAATTTGCCAGTGCAGGTGCTCAACTGACTTGAAGGACAGAGAGACTCTGTCCCAGTGTGGCTGGACAGGAACAGAGCTACGTCCATATGAGAAATATCTTGAGGTTATGAAGGAGTTCACAGCACCAGTAGCTTCACAGTATGATGACATCTTTTGTTTAACTGGTTTTTAATAATGTAAATTACTAAATGTAAATTGTGTCCAAATGCAACCAACTTAAGAATTGAAATAATAAACTGTCATTACAATTACTAAATGAAATAACTAAACTGAACCTAGAGAACAAGTCATATAAGTAAAGACTAAATGACTAGCTTTCTCAGGCATTATTTAACCTAAGCAGTCATTATTGATAGCAGTAGAATGATTTCCAAAAGCAAACTTTAGCCTTCACTTCAATATCTAGTTGGTGGGGTTTTTATTCCCCCCAAATGCCTTAGATAAAACAAAACTTGTTTCTCTGCTTTCTTTTAGCTAAATATACAGCCTGACAAGTGGAAGACAGACAGCATCCTTCTCTGAATGCTTTGGTACACAGCCTCCTAATCATCATTAATGGAACACTGCAGAATATTGCAAAGAAATGTGAACAGCATCACCTCCTGTTAACTTGAAACTCATGGATCTTACAGCACTTGGCTTCAACACTCCCACTCACCACATATATGAACCCTAATCAATTATATAGCATATGGGATGTTGCCATTTATAACATCTTTGTTAGGAACAGAAGATATTAATTAACTGTTAATAATAAAGGTTAACATGAGGATGATAATATTGTAGATTAATGCATCTGGAATTGAGATTCAATAGCTCCTTATTAGGTAACATGTTAATCAGAGGGATCCCTGGTGAAGGAAGCTAAAGTCTAGCTAGGCACCCTCACAAGGATACTGTCAGTATTTAAGGTTTCATTAAATCAATTAGAACCTCTTAGAACACTCAGGAAGCTTCACACCTGAAGTTTCAGAGTAGAAACACACTTTTCAGAAACGTGACTGACAATCTGATGTCCAACACCATTCATTTAAGATGATAAATTATTTGCACTCAATGCATCATTTATTATAAGCTTCAACATGCTTTTATCAGTGTTGTTGAGACAATTTCTATTTACATTACTAGGCAATTAGGAACAGAAAAGGCAGCTCACAACATCATATTCTCTGGGGCACACAGGGCAACATTTAAACCATGACCACCACTGCAGGTTAAGCTGGAAGCCAACAGGCAGCAGTGTATATTTTATTTCTGACAGAACTAAGAGTATTTTATGCACTGTATACAGAGAGCCAATGAAATGGGATCACTAATACAATATAGCAATCAGATTATTGAAGTATGACTCTGTGGAAGAGTTGGGAGGCCCCAATTCAGGAATTAAAATTCAGTGAAGGCGTTGACTTCAGAGGTCCCTGAATGGCATTCAGAAGCCCAGCTCAGCTACTGGTGAGGCAAATGAGAGCTTGAAACCTTGAAACTTGAAAATTCCAGCCCCTATGGCTAAGTTGCATGTCTAAACTAATGAATGGTCCAGCAAAGATAAGCAAGAAATTACTGGTCAGTGTTCCTCACCCCACAGTAGCTACACAGTACCACCTGAAATGACCAGGGTGTGGTAAACAAGCAAACAGAAGCACATCAACTGTGTGCTGGAACCCACCATATATTGAGGCCAGATGTATCAAGGAAATGCAAAGGAAAGTTAGAGAGGCTCCTGAGAGTTGTTAACTCCCTCCATCCCCAGACTAAAAAATAATCCATGTGTGTATTTTCCTCAAGAACAGCTCTGAGTAATGTTAAAAAAGCAACAACAATCAATGTGGATTTTCCACACTTCTCATACACCCATTTTTCTTAGAATCTTTTAAATCTTTAGAACTTTAGAATCTTTTTCAACCTACAGCAAGTCTACAGTCCCTGGTATACCAAGAAAGCTCTGCTGGTGTGCCCTGATTCATACAACATGGTTAAAGCAGCTCTTGTGTAAACACAGCTACATCAGGTGAATGATGGTTTGTTATAGTAACAGAAAAACCTGCCCACACAGCTCCAGTGAAGGAGCAGTTGATAATGTTACAGCCACTCTCCCAGCACTGTTTATCCCAGTTTGGCACACACTGCTGTATTTGCATACAGTACACAGGCTGCTTAAGCATCCCTGCTATAAACAGCACGCTGCTTACAGACTGCCTCAGACCCACTTCACACTCACCCCTTTCCAGGGTGCCACTTTACATACAGTGTGATTAGCAACATAAACATAAAAGATTTCTCCTGAAATCTTTGAAATGCTCCAGACTGCTTCCCTGCTCCTCACAAAGCCACACTCCTCAGTAACTTGCACCTCACCAAACCATTTGGGCCAGCAGATCCTCAAGCACCCAGACTTACCTGACAAGGGACTTACTGAAGCACCACTGTCTACCTGTTAATCATTGCTCACTAATATCCACATCTTTATGAAGCATAAAGATAAAATTTGGTATCTCCCTTTTCTTCTGCCATTAACTGTTTGGAACCAAGGCCCTGACTGAAAAAGAAACCTTGAACTACCAGGAATGAAGCAGCAGGAATGAAGCAGAACCACATTTAGTGACACACAGGGGCTCCAATAATTTGTCTTGCTGCTGCTCTCTCACTAACCTCTACCACAGAAACACCCATGGGCTTAGTTGCCCAACAGGGAGGCTCTGTTTATCTGAACAATTGCTTTCCCAGTTGGCCTGTCATCCTTTTTGGATCAGGATGTGAAAGCCATCCAAGAGGTCTCCTAACTGGCATCTTGGCAAGCTTTGACTGACTAACAGCACAGAGTTTTGTGATTCTGCAAGAACAATGGGGTTTGGTCCTCTTAGCATGGCATGCAGGTAGAGTTTGTCTTCATACCAGCACACTTTGATGGCCTTCCATCAAAAAAATTAAGCATTTCAAAATTTAAGATACTGTATTTAAAATACTGATCAGAAAAATCTTCCTTGTTAACTAAGCATTGATAAAGTACCCAAGTTTCTAACTGAAGTATGCTAACAGGTGCAGGATTAGCCAGGAAAAAGACATCTTAAGATTAAAATACTTACAAAAAGCAGAAGCAGAAGTGGAGTTATAACAATGCCCTGAAAGAAATAAAAAAGAAAAGTCTGTTAGTTGGGGAATCAGAGTATCTTTATTTCCTTGTACCTCAGTGTGTGGAAATACATCAAAATAATTCAACATCATAGAAATTATGTAACAAGAAGTTCAACTTTGCTGTTTACTGTGTACACTTCTTAACATCTGTATGCTGATCATTTTATAAACAACAGCCTGTACAAAGTATTCAACTCCAGTTTCCCCCACTTTGCACCTCAGCCCCTCTATTCTAAACCATCTGATATTCAGAAATACAGAGAATTTATTTTAAAAAGCATGTTAGAGCTCTCCCCTCACTGTGCTGTATCTTAACTTCACCAAGCTGCCCCCCTCCTTATGGGGAGACTTGTGATCAAGTCCCATGCTACCCATCCCGGGTCCTCTTCTGAGCAGAAGCCACACCAACCGTGATGAATTTGGTGTCATAGCTGTGTAATGTAAACTGATATTCCCCAAAGAAAGGAGCTGAGATCTCAAAACTCATTTCACTTGATTAGACTTTGGGTCTCCCTGCTAGACTGCAAGTCTTCCATCTAATTTAATCATCCAGGAGCACCTCAGCTTTCCACATCCCCCAGGCAGACACAAGCAAAAGGATTTGTTGGCTTCACTGACAAGGAACAGGTTTAAAGCTGATGACTGGACAAACCAGAAGATTTTAAGTTTCATGAAAGCAAACCTTAACCTGAGTTGTTTGGGTTGGGAGTGAAGATGACAGGCATCAGTTTCATAGATGCAAACAGCAGTTCCCCATCATCCTTCCCTCTGACTTCAATATTGTTTTATTGCTCAATAAAATGATTCTATTGTTTAATCTGCTTCACAGAGATTGCTCAGAACTTCTCTAAGCCAAGACTATTCTTCATTCTGCTAAGTCTCAAGACTAATCTTTCAGCTATTCATGAACTTTAAAGGGCAGAAGTCCTAAACCCACTCACATCCATCTAAAAAGATGCTTATTTTCTGGTTATGTATATATAAAGAAAATCCTTCTATGACTAGTTTTATATTTGATTTCCTGGTCCCCCAGAAGTGGACAGCCCACTAGGCTCAGAGAGTTTCTCTTGTGCTCTTCAACCAAAATGCAACAAGGAAATGCCACAAATGATAGAGGACATGAAGGGCTGAGGAGGCAACAGTTAAGTGTGCAACTTGCACAGAGTGATGAGGAGCATGGGTGGAGTGGGAGGTGACAGGCCAAGAGGATCCTGTACCCCAAGTGATCACCAAGGGTGGGGAGAAGAGTCCACTGCCAGCTCTTGAGCACAGCCAGCTCTTCTCTAGATCTGGAGGAATTCATTGATTCAGCACCATTAGTCATTTTGTACCTGCTTCATGCCTCAGTACATTTCACAGCACTTTTACACACTACAAAAAAACCCTGCCAAGGGGAAAAAAACAAAACCAAACCTCCCCCCTTTATCTTTCTGATAAATAGAGATGGCATCTTTTGTCTTTAGGATGGGACCTGTGACCTGGTAGGTGTTTGCTTTAGAAGCTTGATGATATTAACACAACAGGCAACAGCAACTGCTAATTCACAGCCCATGTCACAAAACAAAACGTTGCTTCTGAGACAGTAACACTTCTTCATAAAAGTGTAAGTGAAGAGGAGAACCCTGCTATACATCATAAATAGATTCCTGACTGAGCCTGGTGAAAATCTGGCATTCAAAAGGTTAACTCTAGCAGTTCTTTACAAAATTTTACTCTTTAACCTAGTGATCTCGACAATCAGAATCAAGTTTCCTGTTGCCTCACCACAGAATGGGATTCACAAGGTTGAATTTTCCCATTTGCAACACACCTACAATTCCCTGGGAAGCTAAACAATTACCTGACAGAACAGACAAGTTCATATTAAAAAATAGATGCTGCTGCTGAATGGCAGTAATTTGATGTTAATGTTTTATTTTGATAAGGAGCACCAGTTTGAAGAACCACAGGGACTACATTAAGCCCAAAGAGGTGTTTTTTTTTTTCAGTGGGTAGTGCTGTGGTGACTGTGGTGGTTTAGGGGTGCAAGCAAGGCATGGTTTGTTGGGGGAGGGAACTTCTGTAACCAGACTGGCTGATGGAGCTGGAAAACAACCCAAACTGGGGCACAGAAAGCCCATTTATGGGTTATCTGGAAACACTGACATGCTTTTATGTGCAAAAGCCATTCTCTCCAGGTTTCTATTCCAGATTTGAAGAAGAATTTACATGGCTATCTGCCTAACAAAAGGTAGTGCTTTTCCCTGCACCCACTGCTTTAACACATTATTCCTTCATTAGAAACATGCTCCTCCAAATGCTCATAAGGATTATGTGATGCATCTCAATATGTACCCACTGAAGAATAATACCTAGAGCACACTGAGCCTAAAGCCTACTGACAGAAAATAGAGATGATGATTTGGGTTTAAAAGGTAAAAATCAAAATTTGCTTCACTCAGAATAAAGAAAAGGTGGGAGAAGAGAGTTACTCTGCACAGTCCAGCTCCCAGGACAACAGAGGCTTCACAAAGACAAGGATACCCTGACAGTGGCAGTGTGGCTGCTTCCTGAGCCTACAACAGGCTGAGAAGCACAAAGGAAGCTAAAAATGAAAACAAAGACTACAGCTTCTCAATCCCTTGGACACTAACCCCAGCAGTGAGGAAAGAGTAACTAAATTGGACTGTGCTTTCCAGGCAAGTGCTGTCAAATAGGTAGGGTATGGAGATAAACAGATTGTAGATTAGCACTTCCAGCAGAAGCTGAGCATCTGCCCTTGAGAATGCAAGGTCATTACACCGTTTTAGCATCTCCAAACTTCGGGTGGAGTGTTAAGATTTCTGACTGCTGCCCACAATGGAGTCGAAGTTGTAAAGTGACTGTCGTTTGCTAGCAACAGAAAAAACTTTCAAGAAATCCATTTACACCTCTGATGTGAATGACTGACTGAATATATTTCAATGATTTTAGTGGAAAAGGAAGGGAAAAAAAAAATATCTCAGCCTGAGACACTGATATAAGGGAGGCTGAATGGTCAGATACCTGTAAACATTGTTTTTACAGTAAAGACCATGAAACATGTCTTAAGAGAGTCTGTGTGTGCAAGCATGTGCACAAACATACACTTTAAGAGCAAAGACATCCATTCAATTGTTATTTGCCTTGCACAGATAAAAATGTTATGAGTTTTTCTATAGGTTTCATCCAGTACAGCACTAATATAAACAGATATTAAAATCTGTTTATGCTCCAAAAGAATATGGAGAATCAATACACATAACTGGCTGCCAGACTGGACAGCAAAAGGAAGTAACAGAATGGATTTGAAACCATCATGGCAAATCATTAAGAAGGAAATTATGCAAATAGTAAGAGGAAGGTGGGCACAGATCCAGAGGGACACCTGGTAGAAGATGAGTAAGGATTATTGTAATGAGGCATGAAATACATGTGAACTTTCCCTCCTTTCCTTTACCCAAAGATTTCTCATGCCATTTTTCTTCATTCTTACAGGTCATGAGTATGACACACACGTGGCAATTGCTAGTGGAAAAAAACCTTAACCAAAGTCACGTCTGATTTGTCTTAAGCAGGGCTAGAAAGAAATAAAACCAAAAGGTTTTGTAGTCAAGGTTCTGAACAAATGTCTATTTTCTGAAATCAATTATCTATTTCTGCTTAAAGCTACAGATGCTCTCAAATGGTTCATCAGAGCAGGGCACAAAAGGAGCAAAAGTGTAAGCAGTGTTGTTATAATCTGGACAAAGGTCAGTAAAAAGTTAACTGGGCAGCATTTCCCTCACTACTGGCTAGGGTAAGGTGTGAGAAAAATGGCCATGAACTCTGGATCATTTCATCAGAAAATAAGCATGAATGAGAATTGAAACTCAAACTTCATCTGTGTCCAGCAGGATTTCTCACAGGGTTTTATTTCAAGAGTCACTGGCACTTCTTGGCAAAGAAAGAGCAACCAAAAACCCCCCAGCCTGCTCTCTTCTCCCTCCCTGCCAATATGTGCATTTTTCCTGATAACAGTATAAGAGAGAGACTTTATTTTGAAACATTTATTATTTCTATTTTTCCCTATGTCTTTTTTGTTTCCTTGCTTTTGTGCTTGGAAGCATGTTTTTTAAAATGTGGGTTTTTTTCTTGCTTTCATTTCTGACAAATTTGCAGACAACCTTATAATGTTTTACATTTCAAAAAGAGAATCTTGCCTCTAGAAAAGTCTGAATTTGGTGTGTTTGTGAGCAACAGTACCAAAGTTCTGACAGAATATAGATAGATGTTCTAAAAAAAAAATCTGGTACCATCACAGAGGGGAAAAAAAAAAGAGGGTTTTCCTGGAGGTCAAAAAGATTATTGTTCAGTGTTTCCAAGAACATGATAGAGATTGCAAAGCCTAGGATAGCACTCAAAGCCACCTCTCAGTCTGTTCAAATGAAAGAGTGCAAGATTTCCCTCCCAGCTCCACAACTCCTGTGTAAAATGTTGCTTATGGGCTGGGCTATAGCATCATGCATCCTCCTGAATACACTGATTTAAAGTACAGTCCCATGCCAAACTGCTTTGGAGTTATTTTAATTTTAGAATTAAAAATGCTCAAACAGGGCTTTCACATACCTGGATAACCAGCCAAAATCCTAAGAAATGAGCTCCCTTCTCCCTTTTTCTATCTGTCCTCACCTCCTTCAGAAGTATGCAGAACCTCTTGACAGACACCACAGAACAAGATGAAAACCCCTACACCAAATTTACTCACTCAGTTCCACACCAGCAGAGTGAAAGGAGACTAGAGGTCAGGCTGGTACCAGCCAAGTTCTTGTGAAACCATCAGTATGCACTGGATGAAGAGGGGTGGGAACAGAAAAGGGCCTGACAACAAGGTGGCACAGGCAACTGTGAATTTTGCATATCTCAGTTTTTGAGGAGGGAACCATTTTAAACATGATGATTTCAAGTCTGTAACTGAAATGATGTGGAAAACATTTTGTTGCATGAGTATCTGGATGGAGTGGCTGCAGGAGCCTATTCAAGATGACCTTTTTCTGAGTTCTTTAAACAGTTTTTAATATTTAATATGCAACTTCAACATCCCTCTGTTGTTCCCCCCTGGACATCACAGAAGCTACAAGCACAAATAATAGCTTGTCTTTTGTTTTCCAATTTAATTATTTTCAAAATAATTTCAGGTGCAAACCATATACCTTTAAAATTCTCCTGTCATACATCCCTTTCCTGTCAGCTACTCCAATGCCATGGCTGGTTCTGAGAGGGCTTATACAACTGTAGGACTTCAAAATAAAATAGTTTAATATTTAAAATATTAATTTTAAAAGTAATATAGCTCTTCAGTGTCCTGTTTCATAGAAAATGACTGATCTGAATGCTAG